CCTGCCCGTACCGCTCACCTGCGTTACATGTTTTGCAACGTTGGCCCAGTTCCTGGTCTCGCTGCATTGTGCTGTCGTCGACAGTTTTTCATTGTCGGCTTGTGGTGGTGGCTGCGTCAGTGGCCACTTGCCGTCGTTGCCAGCAGATGGTGCAGGCTTCGCAGTGTTGTAGTCGTCCCGGCTCGGTGGCTTACCGGTTACGCCCAGATGGCGGCTCTTCTCAGCTGCCGTTTCCTTTTCGTCCCACCCTTCAAGGACGATCACCTTGTGGGTACGGAATTTCGCTGCGCACTCTCGCGTGTTTGTTGAGCACTGTGGAACACACTCGTGAGGGGCCCGCACCTCCTCCACAGGCGGAGCTTCTTGGGCACAGAGTCCACATCTGTTGGGCTGTGTGTTGGGACATGCATCTGCTAGATGACCGACGGACCCACAAAGCCGCACGCTGGAATATTCCGGTAATATTTTCGCACAGGAATAAGCATCTTCTCATAATGCACAAAACGTCCCGGCGAAGGTGACCCGAGCTTTGTCAGAGGATCCGAATTTCCTCACCTCGACGATGGTGCCTGCTCTCCATTGCACCTGCTCTCGAAGCGATTCAGTGGTGTCTGAGTTGCTGACGAGGATGACGCCATGGCACATATCGCGGCCATCTGGTCGGAGGTATCCATGGAGTGGGATCACCCCACGCTCAGTGTTCACCGAAAATTCCCCGAGAAGCAGATCCACTCCCTCCGGGTTTGGGGTGTGGATCAACACGAGGCTTTGTTCACCAGACGGCACAACCATAACCGACTTTGCCAACTCGGGTCCGAGGTAGGCTGTAAAGGCGGCTCCATGGCGGTTTTCCAAGTCTTGATGCAGCGACACATGTTTGTGTGGCTTGAGCACGACCACGAATTCGTCTGGGCCTGGTTTTGAGATTGGGCAAGGCCTCCAGTTCATAATAGCCTTGCCTTTGCCTCCTGCAGCGCGCAATACTGGAGGCTACGGCTTGCCGGCCAATGTTCCGGAGGCCGGGTTAGCGTTGTATGCCGCTATATTTGCTTGAACAGATGCGCGACGTGCGACCTCTTCATTCAGCAATTGGTCCTGAAAACTTGGAACAGCGGAGTTGTCGTCTTGAGAGGATAGAACTGTAGTCCAGGCCATGCCTTCGAGATCGTAACCCTGCAGGGGAGACGCGGTGGCCGTCATGTTATCTCGCGTGGCCGGTGCCACGCCGTCGGCATTCCAGGCCACCAAGCTCCGGCGTTGCCGTTAGGTGTAACGGCGTCACCCCTGTGGCCGGGTGAACTTCAGCCGTAAAAACTTGAAACATGGACCCCCTGGGTCAAACTTGATTCCAACGAGGTTCAGATGATTTGCTGCGTCAATGGACGTCGGGCTTGGTGGAGTGCAGATGATTGAGCCATGACGTTAACAGAACATCGGCGGAGCCGATGCGCCGCTCGTCTTGTTTCGTCGCACGCTCGCAGTGCCTCCTCACCCCTTATAAGAGATGCTGATGTAAGAGACAAATAGTTCTTAGTTTTGCATGTCCAAGAATTGAGGTTAAGCAGAACTGTTATAGTGTTTTTGTACGTGCCTAAATGCCTATAAGTGCCTATAAATGCATATTTTTCAAATCAGCGCCTGTATGAGCGCTATTTAACTTAAATTTTGTTTTTTAATGCGGTTTGAAACCACTATTCATATGAAAAAGGCAACATTGCAATTTCTAATCACCATGAGGTTCAAAGACGCCCTCTAGCTCGCAAATTCTGCAATATAACTGCTAATCGCAGTGAAATAGCACTCACTGGCCAGCATATGCTACAGAGCGCACATGCTGTGAGCGATTGGAGGAGGAGCGTGAGAAGTACAAAATACGCTATTTCTGCAGCCCTAAGTGGAAGCACGTCTTAGCATCTGCAGGGTAATGAAGAGAGAGAATTAAAGATGCGTTAAGAAAAGAAGAGTGGTGTCTATCACCGAGGACACGGCGAATATCTTCTACAGACAGGTGTCCAGTGTATTGAGGGAACTGAAGAACCTTCCTGAAAACCTGGATGTTGCGGTGGGAAAGGAATAGCAGGTTTTTTTGGGCAGCCGCGGGTAGGTGGAAAACGAATGAAAAACCATGGAGGGCCACTCATGGAATGCTCATGTTGATTCAGTGGTGGCGAAGGCCGGCAAATCGTTATACCTTATACAGCAATGCCTGAGACAGGCGCCGGCATGTTTACAATCAACGGTGTACTTAGCATACATCCACCCTATGCCTGAATACGCTTTTGCTGTATAAGATCCCTTGGCATATGTCTTTAAGTGACAAACATGAAAAAATACAGAACAGGGCTGCAAGGTTTGTCCTAGGCCGTTGCTCAAAAATGAGAGCTGTACCAATATAAAAAATGAACTAGAATGGGAATTACTATCATCACGTCGAATTAAAATGTGATTAAACTCCTATGTCAATCATTCAATGGTAAAACTTGCATTCTAATTGTTTCAAGATTTTAGAATGTCGTATTAAATCTCATTTCTATATTATTTCATTTTTTGTTAGTTTCATGACTAAATGAAATGTCTTTTAAAGAGAAGAAGTGTGTTGTGTAAATGAAGGCATGTTTTCTTTGACACTTTAGCCCATTTGCTGCAGCGCCTTCGGGTGAAAAATATGACGTGCATGCGGCTTTTGTTTTGTTTGTAATTCGCTTCCTTAAGCATGTCTCTATAGGTGACATAAGAAGTTGTAGTTAGACACTAGAAGTTTTTGCATGTCCAATGAAAAGCATTCTACCACGGTGATTTTTCAAATTGGTTTGCTACGAGCCACAAAACCGTAATGCAAAGAGAAACTTGAATCCCTTGCCTCTCGCCCCATATCCATCGCGAGCGCAATTCATTCCCTGTTCTCTTCGGTATTGGGGCTGGAGGATCACATGATGTGAACGCACCAAGAACATTACGCGTAAGCAAGGTCACACTCGAATGACATTCCCCAGCCTACTTGTGCACGTACGCCATCGAAGTTGTGTCATTTCGGCATTCTCTGTTGTGTATTACCCGTTTCTTTGGGATGGGTCAGTTAGGGTGCGTACTTTTGGAGAGGCTGGCATGGATCATGTATCGTGACCACGACACACGACAACGCTCCGCTGAAACTGCGGTCAGAGACGACGCACCGAACACAAGCTAAGCGTTGTGAGGGTTGGCGAAAGCATGATGCAGGTACAATGAGAAGACGAACGCAAGTGAAATGGTGTAGTAGTAGCAGTAGTATATAGTAGGGTAGTAGTAGTAGTTAGTAGTAGTAGTAGTAGTAGTAGTAGTAGTAGTAGTAGTAGTTAGTAGCAGTAGTAGTAGTAGTATGTGTGGCATATCTGACAAAAAAAAAAGACGTTTATGAGGGATGCCATAGTTGAGGTCACCGGAAATTTTGACCATCTGGCGTTCTTTAATGTGCACTGACATCGCGCAGTACGCGGGCATATACCCTTTTGCCTTCATCCAAATGCGACCGCCGCAGCCGAAATCGAACTTACGAAATTCGGGTCTGCAGCGGAGCACCCTAGCCACTGGTCCACCAAAGTGGAAGCAAAACAAGGGGCAATTAGTGTATCATCTCGCTGACATTCCGTTTGCGTGTTTTATTAGTTTTATCAGCGTACATTCATTATACTCATTTTGAAAAAGCACCACAAAGACACAGGGAAAAGAAAGACATAGAGACAAAGAGCACCGTCTTTCTTTTCTCTTTGTCTTTGTGCTTTCCTTTCAAAATGATAAGAAGCTGTTAGGCCAAACCAAAGTACTCCTCATTCCTGCTACACAACGAAACACACAAATTACACATGCCAACTAGAATAATGTTACGTGCAATGCTCTTAATGAGGTACCATTTAAAATGCAGGTCATAATCAGGAGACGGGACATTTTTCATCTGTTTTTCTAGATAAAGCTATCATTTAACCAAGTTCTGATGAAAAGTGTACGGTGAGCGACATCAGAGCACCAGTGTCAATGCAAAGGAAGGACGTAAAAGCAGGAGCATTCCTTGCCTGTAGGTCACTCCCTATATCTTAGGGCGCACACCCGCGAGGAGGGCAAGTGGAATTCAGTAGAAATTTAGCGTTTTTTCGTGACATGTAGCGTTGCAAATCTTAACAGGCATGATCCTGAGTGCCTAGTGCATCCATTAAGCTTGTCAGCTCGAAATGTCATAGCCTAATTAGGGGCCCTCTAAGGTGTTCATTGTCAGAGGAGAAATTGATCTTACACAATTAGACCTGGCATCCCTCTCTTCTGGGGTTACCAGTGGTCTGGTTATTTGCTCCTGCGTGGCCCTTTTCAGCCATGACGAAACGAAAGAGACCCAGGAGAGTGTTGATTGCACAGTGGACACTTGGCTCACAATGCGAGACAATAAAACGAAAGACCATAATCTATAAATTGCATGGGAAATGCATGCTTATTTTCAACCGGTGGTGCCTTTGTGCTATTTTAAGCAATATCTTTTTTTGGTTGTTATCGTAGATACATATCACTGACGCCATTGTTTTGAATTATTTCAATTTTTGTTGAAATTTATTGTGCCCATATTTATGATTTTAGAAACCTAAAACGGTGTTTTAACTGTCTGTCTTTGGCACCTAAAACACACTTTTTTAATGCCTAATACTCTGGCCTTAAAATACGGGCTGATAAGAAAATCGTTAGTGTATGCCAGAAATGTTGGAAACTTCTGCCTACTGTAAAATACATTGTAGGTTCAGTCAAAAGTGTATGAGGGGGGTGATGTGACACACATTTTTAATTTTTTTCGGTTTCCTATTTGTGAGCAAGCTAGTGTTAAGGTTAACACTTTTACATCGCCTAAATTTATGTGCGATATGCTACAGTACATCAGTTGCACTGAGAATAGTTGTAATAAGGAATTACCTATTTTACAGTAGAGTTCTAGCTAAGCTCAAATGTATGCCACAGAATTTTTTCCCCTTCATTTCTTACAGATCCTGTCACAAAAAAATTCCTTTTGGAAAACATGGATAATGTATTTGGATTTCCCAGCTTGGTACGCTTCAGTTGGTCTACAGCAGAGAAGTTGCTTGAAGACAATGCTGCAGCTGTCATGTGGTGAGTCACTAATTATTCTTACTTTGTGTGGTTTTGAAGTATAAAATGCTCATCGCTGCCATTGTTTGTGACGTTCAAGTGACCTTGAGCTGAACTCAAGCGGCGTTGTTGGACGCCCAAACAAGACAGTTATCTGTACAAGTGAGGTCATCTGGACTCTCAAAAAAAATTTTCAATCACCATTGCAAGATTGGAATGAAATCATCCAGGCAACCAGTCAAACATTTCAGAAAAATGCTGTCTTTGGCCACTAACCCCAGGACTGCATTACATACATTAGTTATGGCTCAAACAAATTATGAAAAATATTGCTTTCAGTTTCTTCAGGTGTTTTTCATTCTGTCACTAAAACTGTAACCTCTAGTTGGCTGAAGTTCTCTGAAGTTAAAGATAACATTCCTAAGAGAGATACAGGACATTATACACTTGATCTTCTAAATGCTCGCGCCACATCTGTGTTTTCTTTTTAATGGCACAGAGCCGGAGCTAATTGTGGAGACAATGATTTTGGAGTAAGGATTGCTGTCCCCCTTGAGAAATTGTCCAGTGTTGCATGCGGTGCACCACACAATAGGGTGTCTAAGATTGTGGATAATATCATCACCAATTAATCTGCTTAGCCACTTTCCATTTCATGCTGATAATTACGAAAGAGAAGCCTTCTTCATTTAAAGTGGAATAGGCAATCAATGGTCCCTGCACAGTGCAGGTTGACTATTTGCTACTTCACTGAACAAGAAGGCCTGACAGCCACTGCCAACCATCAGCATCATTTTTGGTGAAATCGCATGTTTGCTCCATCAAAAATACATTCAAGGGAAATCTTAAGAAATTAAGTTATGTTCTTAAATTGTACCTTTGTAATGGCAGAAATGCTTTTTCTACAATGAGTGTTCGGCAAAGCTGATAAGCTGAAAAGGCACAAAGGTTTGAAGCGTGGTGAGGCTGGCACAGTAAAATATTGTGAAAATAATACCATGCTTATTTCCAAACCTACCTGTTCTATTTTTTGCATGTCATGGTGCGAGCAAAGCCTTACTCATCTACTGTCTATCTACCAGTTTGTGGCGACACTTGTACAATTGACATTGAAGAAGCTCACTAATTACTGGACTGAGAAAGCTATTGCAGTGGCATAACTGCTGCTGTGAAAGTGCTACTTTGTTAATAGTGGCTCCATGCCTGCTTCAGAGATTCCTTTAGAAGACTTTGCAGCACGCATTGTGAAAGCAAAAGCAATGTTTACATTTTTAATGCTTAGTAGCATGTTTGCTTTGATTATGAGCTGTTTATATAGTTTAGGATGCTATAGCACCAAAGCGGAGTGCATTGCGTCGACATTTGTTAGTGTAGTGTTTTCATTCTTTGCACTTCTCAGAGCAACAAAGGCTGTCTGCAGGCAATAACAGCAGTGTTTAGATCAAGAAGCATTAGTTGTGAGCACAAAATGATGACTATGGTCATTCCAACTTTACAAGGCAGATGCAATAACAGTGGCTGTCCTGGAATTGTGGTTTCTGGATGTTTCTTCACTCAAGTAGAACAACAGACCTCAAAACCTTTTGCGAGATGTATTCAAAAGTTCAACTTAGTACTGACGATTTTGAAGATTAAGAGCTTGTGGTGACCTTTCTTATGTAGATGCAGCTCATCAAAAGTGACTTGTGGTCACCACCTTTAATATTTCCTTTTATGCTATTTAGCAATGTCATGGTGCGAGCAAAGCCTTACTCATCTACTGTCTATCTACCAGTTTATGGCGACACTTGTATAATTGACATTGAAGAAGCTCGCTAATTACTGGGCTGAGAAAGCAATGCTTCGTATTGGGGGCAACAAAAGCGTGTTCGCCTTTTTCCCATGAAATATTGCACCTTTATAGGCTTTTTGTGGTGTGTTTTGTGTAACGTAAGAGGCATGGAAGAGCAATACTCTGTAAAGAAAATTAAAAAAAAGTTGGTGCCCCTCTACTTTGTCAAGGTGGGTGGCCACCGAAGCCAATGGGTACAAGATCTCTTATCCAAGTCTGAGGGATGCATAAGTGTAGAGTTTTGTTCCAGGATGTGGAATTCCCAAAATGCTGTTTTAGGGTGGCACTGGCATCTTTTTGAGATTTGTGAGCTTTTCAAGTGACCTCCTAAAGGTGCATGGTGAAATGCGTGTTTGGCAGGAACTTTTCATAAATGGGCAATTTTTCTTATGTTTACAGTTATCGATATCAGCTTAAGATGTTTTCCAGCAGAGGGCTTTTATTCCACCACCATGTAAATCAACAAAGCCTTTATAGAAAGTGTTTCCTTTTTATGTTTGTTTTGCAACTCAGGTACAATGCAAGCCTATATATTCACTTTATTGCAGCTTTAGTGTGTGTGTGTCTGGCCCTGTTGTGAAGACATTCGCTTTCGTAGCCCTATTTCAAATGTAGCCCTGCCAAGAAAAGTTTTCTTGTTTTACTCATTTATTTCTTTATTCTGCAGGCATTGTCTGTGATGTATTATCTCCTTCTTCCACTTCACAGATGGTTCAAGTAGTAGCACTTTAATAGAGATAGACTTCCATCTTTGAAGTGCAACTAGCAACCATGAATTGTGACCAATTTGACAAATTTTTGTAATTCTTGGCATTGCTGCTGCCTTGAACTGGATTGACTCTAGACATTGGCAGTTAAGTTTATCATCAGTCGTCGACAGGCCAAACATGTCGATCGGTGATGTGGTAACTATGTCTGCAAAAACAAAGTGCCACTCCACCATGTAACAGTGGTTGCTAGCCAGTCTAGGCGCAACTCTGCTACCTAAAGATAGCATATATATAGTAACTCTACATCTTAATACTTCAAAATACATCACTGCTCCCTAAATGGCATAAGGAATTATTAGTTTACGCACTCGTCGATTTCAGGAAACTAGCATGTGATAGCTGCGCTGCAAAACAACAAATGACAGGCTGCATTACAATAATGAGAAGCTGTTCACAGGGAAACACGTCATGAAAATAGAGAAATACTAATTGTTGTTATCAAATAAGGAGTAGGTATAGAAAGGTTTAAAAATGTGGTTCACTTCTATAAAAGTGTTTGGTTTGTTTATTTTGCTTTATTGTGATTCCAAGAAGGTCTAATGGAATGATCACTTGTTTGACATCACAGGGATGAAGAGGACAATGGTGAGCAGAGTGGCATGGCATCAATCCAATCATTCTTCCAGAAGGACCCGAACCGAGGCAAAAAAGTAGCTGCAAAAGAAAGCCCTTTCTTCACAAGTCGAGCAATTAGCCAGCTCCATGCATTGTAGCTTTTTCTGCACACAGCTGCATAGGCGTCCACTGGTTCCAGAACGACTGTTTTCCCTTCGAGAGCAGTTAATATAGTAGTACTGTAGTTATGTTGAATAGACTGGGCATGTAAACAGAGACATGACAGAAATCAAGACGTTGTTTTTTTTACTGCATTTATAGGGCTGCGTCAGGCCTTGTGATTAATCTGTAATCTGTGGCAAGTCAAGCTTTATGTAGAATTATAAACCTCAATTTAACAAAGTCTAGGAAATCAACTATTTAATTTATATGTCAAAGCATCGTTGTATTGAAATTTAACCTTATGCTAGGTATAATTGATGACAATTTTTTTTGTGTGTGTTTGCCAAATCGTACTACTTGCTCTTCAATGTATGTACTAGGTCCAATGAATTTTCATCATCAAAACCTGTTTTGTGCCACAAAATAAAGGAGATCTGGTTTAAAATTGTTCAAAAGTGAGTCAACAATGTGAGTTGTGGTATTTCATATCAGCTTCTGAAGAATTGGGCAAGATATTGTTATGCATTAGATGTTTTGCCCTTCACTGTGCATTGGTTCAACAAAAGCAGGTCAGGTTTATCACAGAACACCCACACACTTTCACATGTCTCCAATTGTTTGTGCTGGGAATTGATCGTTGCCGCATTAAAAGTGCGGCAACGTTCAAAAGGTATTTTCGCAGAAATGCCGGCATCGGCATCTTTGGCCCTGCTGCAGTGCTCTAGTGGCTAAGGTACTTGTTTCCTCACTTGCAGGCCGCGGTATTGAATCCCGGCTGTGGCAGCTGCATTTTCGATAAAGGCAGAAATGTTGTAGGCCTGTGTGCTCAGATTTGGGTACATGTTAGAGAACCCCAGGTGGTCGAAATTTCCGGAGCCCTCCACTACGGCATATCTCATAATTATATGGTGATTTTGGGGCGTTAAACTATACATATCAATCAAGCCATCCCATTGGCGGATCCAGAAGGGGGGATGACAGGGGCGATTGCCCCCCCCCCCCAAAAAAAAAACTCAGCGCCCTGTCAATTCAGTGCTCGTAGTCCACCTTCTATCACCAATTAGGACAAATAAGTGAAACCACTGTGAGCACACATTAATAGTATCTGTGCTATGAAAGGGTTTTTCTGCTAGTAAAAACGAAACAGTCATGGCCACGCCCCCCTCTTCGGTGTCACTTTAGGTGACCGCCCCCCTCTAAAATGATTGGCTGGATCAGCCCCTGAGCCATCCACAGTTGCATTTTTCATTCCTTGATATTCATGCTATTTTTATAACTGTTGCATAGTCAGCCCAGGTTTATTTCTTTTTCTTCAAGTCCTACTCCGATAATTTTTCGAGGTTAACAGATCCCGATAAAATTTGCTAGGTACGTTCCTTTGCCCGTTTCTGTCCTTTATGCCAAAGTACAGTCTTCAGAGATGCTATGTATTTTACAAAGTAATTTTATTGATTGCTTCGAACTATCCACCTTGATTTCCACAATTTTTGGCCACATTTGATGCGTGCCATCTTAATGGCAAAGCGACAGAAGTGATGGTATCAAGGTACCACTACGAAGCCTGCTGTGAACAAGGCAATGAGCGTGTGTGTTTGGCCAGCTCTTCACCAATTTGGCATGTAAATTTCGGCTACCCGTGTGTGGGCTTGTGGTGGGTGGTAAGTGGTGTAGCGTTATGGGCTGCACACAGTTCCCTGTATAATTACTATAAGTCACTAAACATGCATAGCCAACGCTTACTCTTCATATATTAGGTTGTTCTTGCTAGAAGTGCCTGTTAACCGCACGAAAAACATGCTAAGGTAGAGGGGTAGGCGCTGAAAATTATGCATGTCGAAAAAAAAAAAATCTGTGCGAACATGATTGAGCACAAAAATAGAATGATACAGTATGAGCGCAAGGTATGTGAGTTGTTAGCGAACGCTCTTATATTTAACGGCGTTCAAAATGTACTTTTTTTCTGCTATCTTTGCTGGTGCACCATATACAATGGTGCGTCCTTGCATATGTTATTCATGTGATTCTACAAGACCACTATGTCGATATTTCATTGGTGAGAATGATAAACTGAGCACGAGAGCATTTGTAGAAAGATATCTAATCTTGCTGAAGCGTGTGGGGTCCTAAATGTCAGCTACTCGAGCACTGCGGCAACCACGAAGATTACGGCCGCAATAATTGCCCGCGTCGTCACGGCATCTATTGTATTGTTTAAAATTGCTCACTCTTTAAGAATTAATTGAATCCCCGGAACTGAGGCAATAAATAAAGAACGGTGCCATGACATTTCATTGTAAGCACAATAACAGTTGTAACCCACATTGTAACCTGCAATACCCATTACAGAAACGAAAGTGCCACTTTGTCAACATATGTAACAGCGCATAAAACTAGAAAAGACGGCACAGACAGAGAGAGCGCTGACTTCCAACTGTTTTATCCTACTGACGAAACCGACTTTGATTACATGCGCAGAGCCAGTGGGTAAAGAAAATAAAGCATGGAAAGCACACCAGCAAGTCTTAATCACCAAGTTTCTAAAAACCTTAGCTCATCTTTGGTCAATGCAAGTGATGGCATGCTGACAGATCCTTCCCCGCACGAGCAAGGCCAGCAAGCAACCATCCTTACCGTATCGCTTTCATTGTCAGTTTGTGCGTGAGACATCGCTTAGAAACCCAGACATCACACTCTGTGAAGCGTCGCGGTGAAGCTGGAAGTCGGTCATATTGACTCAGCAGATTATCCTATCTTGTTTTTAAATGTTATTAGCGAAGTAAAAAGCACGCCTCCCTCTCCGGATCGAAAGCCAGGTATGCTGGGGAAATCATGTCCCCAGCGGGAAATGACTGGGGACATGATTGGGGAAGTGAAATGGGGAAATCATGTCCGAGTACTAACAGGGAGTAACAGCCCGCCAACTAGGAAGCCAGCTCAAGAGATCGCGTGCTTAGTGCACTGACTACGGTGAATGCGGTGTCAGTGTTTTCACAACGTTTATTCACGGACTGTACAAACAACGTGATCGGACCTGCACCGCCTTGTATGGTTGCATTCTTTTTCTCACACAGCTGACACGGCACTCGTGGCGCCCACGGTCACCGTGTCCATGTCCCACGTAAAAAGCTCACTGGCGTCAGCATTGTGCAACCGCGGTGACCTTGTGCATGGTGCAAATAACACTTGAACGCAATTTCTCTACCGCCAATTCAGAGTACACTGCTAGGTGGCGAGCAAAGCAAGCAAAACAGAAAAGGTGTTTAATATGCGCATGCAAGTTGTTACTGTACATATATTGAACTCGAAACTACTCATGTGCACATGACGTCCTCATTGCGTCTTGCGGGGCACAAATGTTTCATCTGTTGTGACAAGCAGAAACACTACATAACAGTCACTGGCCTGCAAGGCGTTCGTCGCGGTTCCGTTTTGTCATGGTGCCCCAAACACAGTTTTGCTAAGTACTTCAAATTCTCTGTTGAGGCCCCGTGGCTTACTACAGGTTTTTAAAACGTTGCTAGTAGTACATTAACCGCTGGGAGAGCACTATGTAGCTAAAGACGTAGCACGGAGCACTGATATTTTCCGCTACGGCTCAGTGCGAAACCTACGGAGGCACACATACCTGCACGTATTGCTCACTGCTAGACCAGCTACACTGCACAACACGTAACATACGTATTCTGTGACGTAACCATAGCAACGCAGTAGATATGGCCATCATGACATCACTTTCTCTACACTTTTCACCAGCGTGCATCTTCAGTCCAGTGGGGACCTGCTGGCGCTTACAAACGCACGTGCGGAGGAGAGTTTACCATGGGTATACGCTCTTAAAATGTACTTACTAGTGTGCGGACTGTGACGCCTGTCGCCGGAGGCTAGCAGACGGCGACACTCCTTTAGGAACCGTGCCATGAACCGTACTCAACAAACGCGGCGCACCAAAAGCGTGTGTCACACGTGCCCTGCACTGTGCACGAGTGTCGCTTGCGTTTCATGTGCACTTCATATGAGCACTCGTGAATGCAGTTGTGGGATGTTTCTGCTTTTGAACATGTAGCATATGATGCCTCTGCATGGCGTTGCTGTGTTTATTTTCTGTTCGGACTGTTTGTTCACCATGGTATCTCATTACAAAACCGTGACGTCGCAAAAAAAGGATCCATAAAGGCAACACCTGTTTTGCTCCATATTGTGCGAGTGGATACCGCTCAAACAACGAGCGGGTCTCATTAATCCACGCCCCTGTCGACCCAAAACACTTAGCCAAGCAAAAAAAGAAAATGAAGAGAAAGTTTATAAAAATAATTCCTATGGCTGCCGTTTGTGAGAAACACTTCAATCGTTGCCACGCTGAAGGTCGTTATTATTCCAATATCAATTATACGGAGTCTCGGTTGGTTTTTGTTGTCACCGCAACCGTCATTCACGTGTATGTATATGTATATGTGTATATATATATATATATATATACTGGGAGTAATAATACGATGGGCCAGTTAGTCTTCATGAAGGTATGGGATATGGCACAACGAGAGCGTTGTCAACAAGGATAAAGATATTTATTTCCCAACAGTTTTGGGAGGGGACCTCCCTTTGTCAGGGGATGAGTTATACTAATATAGACTTTCAGACTTCATTGTTGCTGCATCCCTCTCACCTTGAAAGATGTTTGCGAGAGTGAGAAAGAACTAAAAACACAAACAAAAAAGAAACAAAACACTGTGATTGCTGAGCACAAAACCAGACTGTGCACATCCAAGTGTCTCTGTAAGTCCACATCTGGTTCTCATCCTGTGCTGGCCAGTTCTCGACGTGTGTCGGCCCACCCAAGATTGTCGCCTTTATCCAGACATCTGCGCCTGCCAAACCACAGATTTGAAAATATCAGCGTAACTCTTTTACAGTCCGGTTTCTCAAACAGGCGCGAGCGCGAACAGCATGAGGCATATTTTATTTTCAAATTTAGAACATTAGCCGACATCAACGAGGACCTCGGAAGACTCTCTTGCCTCCGAGAAGTAAGCCAGGAGGAAATTGTTGACAAAGATTCATAGCTGGAGACCATGCTTGTTTTTTCTGACTCGTACGTGTACACTGTCCTTTCTTGTTTTTTTTTTTTTTGCACGTGCACATACAAAGTGTTTACGCTCGCCTACCACTTGACGGCCATTGAGGGGAAACGGACGAAGATGAAAGGTAAAGAGCCGACTGACCCATTAAGTGGAAACTCTTAAGCACGCCGTCGTGGGCCCCTCCCGCCACCGCGTCGACAATCTTGGGTGGCCCGACACACGTCGAGAACTGGCTAGCACAGAATGAGAACCGGATGTGGACTTACACCGGCATTTCGATGTGCACAGTCTATTTTTGTACTGAGCGTTCACAGCGTTTTGTTTCTTTTTTGTTTGTTTTTTAGTTCTTTCTCACTCTCGCAAACGTCTTTCAAGGCGAGA